ATATATATATATATATATATATATGTATACAATCTACTAAACGATAGATAGTCGTAAAAGGCGTAAAGTGAAAATAAACTATGCATACATATTGAATAAATGTTGATGAATACACTTTACATATAACTATTTACTGACTGTCGGAGAGGTGGTAAGGATAATTTTGGCCCATTTTTACAAATGCTTTTAAGCAATCCCATTATTTTATTTTACACAAATTCTCTTCATTTATGAATGGCACGCAAGAAATTTCAATGTATCATATCCTACTCACGATCCAACATGACAGGATCCGCGGCGATTACTCAGAAGTCTTAACGAAAATAAATTTTAACGCCAACTTTAAAACCAAACACATATTACTTAACAAAAGCTATTCAATTGTATAAGTTTTCTCAGTCTTTTAAGTTTGTTACCATTTTCTGGAAACATCTTGTATATATATTTCTATCTATGTTACAATATCCGGTTATTCCAGTTTATCTCTGATAAGCAAGAAAATATTTATGTGTGCAATGTCGTCATAATTCGTACGTCGAAATTCATTCTCGATGCCGAACTATACCAATAAGTGTCCCACGTAATACGACGCCCATGAGAGAGAACGAAAGAGAACAGATTTATTGGTACTAATACATAGTTTGTTGGTATAATAAAAAAAATTATTTTGTTGTTACAACAAAATTGCAGCTTCTATTTTACATGTTTTTTTAAATTAAAAAGCAGAGTAAAAAACTACATATTAGTGATGACCTCACCGATTTCAATGATCTTGTTATATATTACTAAGGTAAAAACCTTGAGTAATCTTCTAAAGGTTTTGCCTATCGCTCGTTGTTTGTTAAAAAGTTAATATTAACAACAGAAATTGATAATATAAATCAGGAGACACGATAGTGTCTCAGTGCTAAGACGAAACGTAGCGTCATAGCACAAGACACTGCCGTGACTCCTTTACGCGCGAGCTGGCGAATTGTGAATAGGGGAACCTATGTACTTAACTCGCTCGCCACATTCTACATGAAAAGTTAGAAACCTATGTTAAATCTCGCTTTGTATAGTAATGTGTATGCACAGATCTAATAAAACCTCCCTATAAAAGAAGGATTCCACTATCAAAAAACTATATTAAAACGTAATATCATAATAGTGCGCGGTTCGGGGGTCTGATGCTATAACGAGGTTGCCCTCATTTTCACTCTAAAATAATAATTAAATTCAAGAGTTTAGTAGCTACTGTTATTATTCATTCATGCCACTTATAGAGCGAAAGAGATTTTTCGTGCTATTTCGAGATTCGCTGTTACGAGATACTAGTAGACACATAGGTTTGGATTGAATCTTGTTTCGCTTGGAAAATTGTAAACTCACACAAAGCAAGGTTCCACATGGGTTTACAAATTTTCACACGAAACGAGGTTCAATCTAAACCTGTGTTTAATCGTTTTGGCAGTGGAGCTGTTCTCGAAGAGGGAGAGAGCGGAACCCATTGGATGCACTCAGTACGATAACCGCTCCCTAAGCGATTGTCGTTCTAAATGCACCAATTGTACCCATGCATACACTTTATAACGCAAAGCGTGATTCCATATAAGTTCATAAATTTTCACGTGAAAATATACATTGTACCACAGCCGTTCAAAACATCAGAGAGAAAAATTAACTTTGATTTTGAATAACGTGCAAAACAACAAGTTTAAACAAACGACGACTAATACAACATATGTTAAGATCACTGAAATCGATATCGTCATTAATATTCAGTTTTACCAAAAGTAGTTAAAGTTTACTGTCATAATCAACTATTTGATATTGCAAGATTATTTTATTGAATAATCTTACTGGATAAATTCGGTTGTAAAAATATGGATTTGTTGCTGAGACAAAGTATGAATTTATCTCTATCAAATATATCTTTCAGTTGCAATAAAACAATTTATTATTGTAATAAAAAGATACTTAAAAATATTATATTTGTTGGAAATAATTTTTTACGCGTTAATCTATAAATCATATCATTATGATCACAAATTGATGCATATCTTACAATAATAGCTTATTTTACGATAGTCACTGCGGCAATAAATTGTATTTGTCGAACTATTTTGCTTCAAAAGCGAATTAATGTGTTTTCT